AATTCTCAAACTACTTCAATATCCAACTTGTTGATTTTAAAGATCTTACATCAATCTGTTTTAAAAATATGTTTAAAAATAGGGGGGGGGGGGCGACAGATAGTTGGGACTGTTTAGAAAATTAACAATATGGCCTATGAAGACAGGGCAAAAGGCAATGACACTACTTTAAAATTCTGGAATTGGGAGTATGCACTTTTCTCTTTGCTTTATCTTCACCATCTCATTTCATCTTGATATAAGCTTTAAATATATTTCTTGTGCCCAGATAATGTATTTCAGACATTAGGACAATGTAAACAAAAGAGAAGAAAGTATAGAAACAATAGCAGTGTTCCTAGATTGAACATTTTAATGGGTGTCATTGGTCAAAAGACCAGGGGTGGGATGCGACAGGGTTAACTACCAGTTTGGTGATTTACGAGGTTCGGTGATTTACGATGTGCTTCCCTGCACGCTGCGTGGTGCCTCGCTAAGCTCCATCTGAGACACCTGATCTTGGTGTGTCTTAAGTGGCAAAAGGACAAAAAGGAATTAGGTTGTCCTTTTCTAAAACTATGGGTGGCTATGAGAAGCAACATTAACACATATAACAAAATGTAACAGAAATACAACATTTCCATATCATACACTATCTGTAACTAACTGTGTGATCAGGTTATATTTTAAAAATCTTATCTTCTGGCAGGGCTTGTTAAATATACTTACTTGTTCTATACAGTGAGTATATGTAAAAGAGATTTGCTTTCCTATAGAAGCAAAGATGCCTTTAAAGAACAGTATCTCCAGCTGGTGATTGCTTTGTTGGCCATGTGTTGTGGTTATTGCAGATACTGGCTTATAATGTACTTACATAGTTGAATGATTCAGAAGAAAGCCTATTTCAATTTTGTGGGAAATTATATAAGCAAGAAAAAATATGATAGTTTGGAAGTATAGACATATAATTTATGTCTGAAGACATCAAACTCCATTTCATTTCCAATGTACCGGTTTATCATTTGTTTGAAGTGGTGTAGGGTTTCCTGACTAAGCAGGGGGTTGGTCTAGAACAGTGGTCGTCAACCGGTGGGCCGCGGCTCACTGGTGGGCCATGAGAAAATTTTGGTGGGCTGCAGAGAAATCTCACCCTTGGAGCACCCCCCCCCCAAGCAATTAATCCAGGCTGTGCAGAAACACAAGGCTGTGCCGCCCACATGGCCCATGGGAACCCTTTCCGCCCACTCACTCCTTACCTGGTAAACTTGCCTGCTAAATTGCTATTTTCCCGTTTTCCAACCATCAGCTGTTCTGCTGTGCAGGGAGATTTAGATTACTAGGAAGCAGGAAATGGTTGGATTTCTTGCTTTCTAGCTAGTCTTTAGATCTTCGGCTCTGCTTTTAAGTACAGCCGAACCTCCCTTAGGACTGAAGGTTTGCTTGCAAGCAAATTCAGTGCAGACTCACGGCAAGCAAATTTGAGAGACTGAGCTAGCCGATGGCAGATAGATAGATCACTGAATGATTTTGTGAGAAACTCAATCTGCCTGCTTTGCCTGATTTTGGGTAAAGGTTGCGCTTTTTTATATAAAAAATTCAATATTTATATAAATATTTATAATATTTACATACAAGCCATGCCCAGCCAGTCACATGACCACCAAGCAACACCCACAAATTAGGCCACACCCACATAACTAGTTAGTGGTCCCTGAGATCCAAACGGTTGGCGTTTCCTGGTCTAGAGGACCTCCAAGGTGCCTTCCAATTCTGGTATTCTGTTCTATTAATAATTTGTTACCTTCTTGAATTGTCCTAGCCTCTATTTGTTTCTGTTACCTGGATCAAAGTTTCCTTGCCCCCACCCCCCAACCTTGGTACATACCTACTAAAGGTTATCAATTTTTAATTATGTTAGGTAGTAATTTTGTGTAATTGTCATAGGGAAACATAAAATTATCTTGCAACAATATTGTAATTATGGTAACTAAATGCCTGAAAAGTTAACAGGAAAGAATAAGGTGATTCTATCCTAAGCTATTATTTTCATTGAACAAGCTTCCATTAATTGATGTAACGCATTGAAACAAGCCAGGAACTGTGTTTTAGAAAGGATCTTCATCTCTTGTGCTTCCCCAGAAAGAGCAGGTTCACAATCTGGGAGCCTCCTGGAATCCCAGCTCTTGGTCAAGGAACAGGTAGAAAGCTCCAGTCAGGAGAGCCTTTGTCTAGCATCAGCTAGTATGCCAAATGTGCCCTTAGCTTTAGTAATAATTGCTATTGAAGCTTAAAAATACAAAGATAAAAAAAACCCAATGCAAAATAAGAAAAATACAGAAAAAAGTGCATAGAAGAAAAAAAGGGGGGGAATATATAAAAATACATAAAAGATTTTCACTTCATCAGCGTACTTTCAATTTCAGTAGCCTATCACATCCTTCTCATTTCAACCTAGAAACACTTCATCCTATATCTTACCTTTATCTCTTAGCAAATGTATATATTTAAATTTATCTATAAAGTATATATTGGTAAATTTAATATATATTAACCTTAGACAAGTAATTTTTCATGTTCCTTTCATTTACTGTAGTCACTTACGATAACTTACTCTTTTTTCTAGAAATACAAATATCTTCTCCCCATCTCTTGAAGCTATAAAATCTTTAAAGCTTTATCATTCAAAGTTAATCACGTAAGATTTCATTAAGAACTACTACAAACATCAACATACTGAAATGTAATTCCATTAAATACTGTCCAACAAATTAAATTTGTTCTCTTCATCTCCTTTTAGGAACTCCTTTTGCAAGTTTGACATTTTCCTTCAATTTTAATACCATAGCTGATAACTTTCTCTAACAATACAAGAAAAAAATATTTTCTCATATCTTTATCACGTCTTTAAAACTTCCTTCCATTCAGTCTTGGTCAAATACCCATTAAAAGCTGCTAGGAAAATATATATAACTTTAACCTTAGTTGAATGAACCAACTTTTTAAATCTTGTTATTTTTTAGGTCTTGATGTTTATTCCTTTTAAGTAGTGCCCCAGAAACTGGGTTTTTTTCATTCTCTCTTTATCTTTTCTCAGGAACTCTTTTTTTTCATTCTCTCTTTATCTTTTCTCAGGAACTCCTTCATACATCTCTTTTGTAAGTTCAGAATCAAAAGTATCCAAGAGACTCTTCTGAATTGAAATCCACACATCGAAGTCTCTCTTCTGATTTATTATTTATGTGTCCCTTTTGCTACTAAAATATCAACAGTTTCATTTTTAATCCTTTATATAACATCCTTGTCAATGTCATTCTTGTATGCTGTCGATTTTAAATCCATATCCAAAGCAGCCTGATTCTGTTTCTCTTTTGAACCCATTTTTATAGAAATTGACAATCTTAAAAGAAAGTTCTACATTTTTGCAAAATATCCAGGAATTCTTCTAGAGTTAAAGTACTTTTCTCCATTCTATATTAATATGTCTCCTCACTTAGACTGAATACTCTAAGGACAGTGATGTGTGTATCATTTGCAAATTAGATTTAATCTACAATTAATTTGATCAACAAAGGGCTGCATTTTAAGATCACCTAAAAACTTCAATTGGCCAGCATGCAATGGTCCTCTTGCTTCGTGTCCAGTCACATTCCTGCAGCACTCATTGCCAATCTGTTTCCAAGTACAGTAAAATTCAAAATGTTAATTACTGCCTTTAAAGCAGTGATCCCCAGCCTTTCTGGACTGGCGGGGGGGGGATATTGGCAATGAGCGGGATAGGAGATGGTTCTGTGCAAGTGGTGTGAGTGTGCAAAGGCTCTATTTGTACAAATGAAGCTTTACATGTGAGCATATGTACTCCCCACTTGCACAAATGGAGTTTCCTCTGCTTGCCTGCTGCTTGTGTGGCCCAGTTCTTAATGGGCTGCAGCCTCAGGATTGGGGACCCCTGCTTTAAAGCACATATGCCTTCCAACCTGCTTACCTAAGACAATGAGACATTGCCCTTTCTCTATAAATTCTGCTATTTGACCGCGATGGTTAGGACTGTGTACTCCCCAACTAGAGTGTGCTATGGGAGGTGATTTGACAGAAGATGTTCTTGGTGGCAGCTGGCTTCCTATGGAACATCCTTTTCCTTAAGATGACAATGATCCTGGGGCATACTAAAATGAAATGGTGGGAATGGGTTGCTGCAAATGGAGACAATGAGGGGATGTAAGATAGGAGATTATCCAAAAGGTCAGCAGTTGGTATAGAATTGGTCACTGTTTGTCAGTCAGTGATGTGGCAGCAATGGCAGAGATAGAATCAGCAGAAGTTCCAGAACCTCATGGTACTATTTGATGAGTGGAAATAGTTGCTCTGGGTGTCAAATGTGCTAGAATAGATACATCCCTGGAATGGCCCCCGCTCTCCTGACCTTGTAGGGGCTATTAAAGTGACTAGATAATATCAGTTAAACTTCATAGACAATAGTTATGATAGTCATCTAAGTTTATTAATCCAACCTCTAATGCAATAGAGGAGGGATTCTGATCAGAGTTTTATTATCAGGTTCAATCTGAAACAGATAGAACAGCAAGCAAGATGAGCTGCATGGAGACTGGAAAACCAAAGTTGCTGCTAATTTTTGCCCTTAATGTATTTTAAAATTGAGGAAATGAACATATTTTAAATATGTTTATCAAAAATGTAACAGTTATTTCAACTAATTAAATGTAACAATTAATTTTCCCCAAACCCATTTTTAAATATTTATCTAATTCCATATTTTTGCAGTGTAGCTCTCATGCCATCCATCTTTCTGCCTACAGTATCTATCATCTATCATTTTAATTTTATTTATTCATCCAATTCGTCACCCATCTCATGGTTCAGGCTACTCTGAATGGCTAATGTTTAAAGGCAGCCCTTAATAAAAATAAGATGTGTAAATACATTCCTAATTTTACATGATTGCTTCTTGTTTAACTAGAGCTTAAATGGTGTGGTTTTTTTTACAAATCTCACTTATTTTCCAGGTAAAACGGAAATTGAATTTGGAGACTGACCATCAATACATTGCAGAGAACGCTCAGGTGGTTCGAGGAAAAGCAAAAAATCCTATAAAAGGTACCAGTATATAGATGGGAACTCTGGTACTTTAATTTCTTTAGCTACTTCAAAAACCCTTGTCCTAGTGGCTAAATAATGCCAGATTCTCAATACAATTATTGAGATACACTGAAATTGATCCAGTAAAATCTCAGAAATGACTGCTAGTACTGGGGATACTGGAGTATTGATGCTTTCTCAAGCTTTTGAATTCATGAGGGAAATGGCTTTTGTTGCTGAAATGACATATTGTGCAAAGTTGGTTTTGGGGTTTCAGAATTTAGCACCCTAAAAATCAGATTTCATTTTTTTTTAAAGGGTTAATTTCCTTGAAACACAGACATTTGTTTTAACTCATGGCTGAGCTGAAAGCCTCATCGGAGTTCACAGTTGGGTTTGGCAAATGATGCTATCTTACCCACAATTGTCCATTCATTCGTTCATTGGAGTGGTGCGGTGGCCTAGAGGTGGAGCTCTCATCTCACAATCAGGTGGCTGTGAGCTTGATCCTAGGTAGAGAATCAGATATTTCTCCGGCACATTGAGAATATATCGTCTGAACAAAACTTCGCATTGGTGACAGGAAGGGCATCTCGCCATTAAACACACTGCTAGCTCCATTCAGTTGCCCAGACTCCACCCCACAAGGGATTATGGGATCATTAAAAGATGATCATTCGTTTGTTTGTTTGTTCATTCATTCATTCATTCACATGTATATATGTATGTATTTTATTTATTTATTTTATTAAATATATATGCTGCCCATATATGCTCACACTTAAAGAAAACTTTGGGTGGTTTACAATGTACAATCCATCCAAAATATCTAACCAGATTCAATCCATTTTTCATATCCCTACAATGTATCTTGGCAACATACTTGGTCAGTGTGGGAAAAGTGAGTGGTGTTTCTTCCTCTCTATTTCTAGGGTAGTCATTGCAGCTTTCAGGCTAGATGAGGCTTGAGAGAATGATAGAAACGCTGAGCCTTTCTCCAACAACATTACTTTCTTTCTTGTCAAATGAATAGTGCAAGCTGAGCACATTGATGATTTAAGTTTGGAATTTATTTAAGAAGAATTGCAGCTGCTTTGCTAGTTGCAATTAAGCCCTGATTCATCCCCAGGTTTAAAGTCTCCTGGAGAGAAATCCCGCTATGAAACTTCTCTCAATTTGACCACCAAGCGCTTCTTAGAGCTGCTGAGTCAGTCTCCTGATGGTGTGGTGGATCTCAACTGGGCTGCTGAAGTACTAAAGGTGCAGAAGAGGCGTATCTATGACATAACAAATGTCCTGGAGGGCATCCAGCTCATCACCAAGAAATCCAAGAACCATATCCAATGGCTGTAAGTAGAATGTCACCTGTCTTTCTGCCAGCTTTTAATTCTGATGATGTTCTAATTAGTTCTGATAAATGTTTGTTTGGCTCCATTATAATGTAACCCATTCATAAGTAGAGTACCGTCTGTACTTAGTTACATATTAAATTGCCACAGTTTCCATTTATGTTATTGGTATGTGTTTTTTATAAATAGTTATAGATTATAGATTCTTTGTATGTCTGTGCCTATATGCGCTTTCAATCAAGAGAATTAGAACATGATAATCTGAATTATCCTATATCAAAATTACATAGTATTATATATGTGTAAGAATACTCAGTTATAACCTTAGATACTTCTGTACATTGGTGCATTTTCTGGAAGTATACTCAAAAAGAATATTTGTCATTTTTTTTATTTACTTCAAAGCAGTACTGCAGGGAAGAAATTTATTGCAAGGAAAAATCATATTAATAACATTAGACCAGTGAAAATATCATGAATAACAGTTCATTAATCTGTGCTCAATTTAGTTAAAAGTGAGACAATAATTGTAGATGAAAGTTTGATCAATTGCGTAAATAATTTTAACTCATCAATTTCTACATGAACATACAATTGTTGCTTATTGTAAACTTATGTTCTGAGAATTTAGTATATTTTGCTGCTTATTATCTGATAGAAATAAATACTTTTAAAATCTGAAAAGTGAAACTTTATGGGTTGATGGACTACCCTGTTATGGCAGTAATCCAACATTCTTGCAAAAGGACAACATTATTGCATATACTATTGGTACTAGGAATTATAGATGAGAGACTCAGGGAAATTTTAAGTTTGTAGATGTACAAGAAAACTGGTCACCGACAACATGATACGATGGTTAAAATATTGGATTACAACTAAAGAGTACTCTTATAGGCCATAGAAGCTCACTGAATTATTTTGGTCAGACATTATCTCTTATCCTAGTATATCTTATACCTTCATTATTACAAAGAAAAGTTGGTAGGAGTGGAGTGCAATTCATACCATAATGAGATCCTGAAAGAAAGACGTAATATAATTCTAATAAATAAATGAGAAGTGAGCATGCTTGGTGACCACTAATGAGAAGAAAGTGGAATAATTTAAGATGGGAAAGAAATGACTTTAGGCAAATTCCTGAAGCTTCCTATTGATATTATACACTACCAGTTCCGGAACATTTTAGAGGCAGGAAGTAAGAATATAAAAACCAAGCCTAAAATAGCTTAAAATCTCTCAGGATTTATTAGGCATGGTCACTTGGAAGAAGATAGTTGCTTTGGTCACTACTTTCCAGGCATTTCTCACAGAAAGGTCCCCAAACAGGTCCGCTACAACGGTTAGTCTAATATTCTCATAAGTCAGCACTGATCTAGTCTTGGAAGCAAACAGATAGTCTCTAGTGACTTTGTAGGACAATTACCCTAACCAAGAGGTTGAATTCTGCACTTGCTAAAGTCTCTGAACAGGTTTCAAAGGCAACCCCATAAAAACTGAATTATATTAGTTCAAACATGGGATTATTAAGACAAGAATCACTCGATCCAGAAAAAAAAATCAAAGACTTTTAGTTACTGTGACACGTGGGTCTTCAGTTACAAAATTCATTGCTTGGAGTTACTCCTTAATTCATCAGCTGCTGTGAAGGAGTTCAGAATTATCTAGAATTATCTAGAACTACCTTTATATGGATATTAAAGATTATAGGGGACAACATGGAATCTTATAGCAGGCATAGGATTAGAATACTATGTGGCAAGAATATTTTCTTCAGGTAATTTGTTGAACTTTCCCTTTAAAAAATAACTAATTTACTTAATTAAACATTCATCTGTCTTCTGCTGTGTTTTTCTGACAATGTGAAAGTGTACACAGTGCAATTTACTTCTCATCTACCTCAATGCTAAGATTTGCCAAGTTGTTAGTCACAGAGTATTTCATCTTGCCTTATTCTGTTTTCTAGGGGGAACCGGACTTCTGTGGCGGGCACCAATAAGAGTCAAACGTTAATAAAGGAACTACAGGATCTTCAAGCAGCAGAACAGCATCTGGACAACCTTATCCAGATGTGTACTACTCAATTCAAGATCCTTACTGAGGAACCTGAAAACAAGCAATATCCTTCTCTTCAAGATGAATGGGGATTGGATGGCTTTATCCAACCATAAGAGCACAAAACAGGTTCATAGGAGCAAATCTTCTGCAGTAACCAGTAGCAGTAAAGTACCATATTCCAAACAGGCAGCTGCACTCCTGACATTCCTGGATTGGGTGTTGGTACTTTAATTTGTACTTCCACACCCTGTGAGTTAATGGAAAATCCCTACCTGGCTGTTGGCTAAGGCTCTGAATTGTCAGTGAGGTGTGGAGGTGTACATGTGTGTATAATATCTCAGAAAAAAAGCAAAAGAAGGGTGGTGGTGCATCTGTCAGATGTTTTTTGTTGATTTTTGCCTGGCAGTTCTGTAGCTGAACCTGTTCCTGATAATGAAATCTGCAATCCACCCTTTCTGGTAAATGAACAGTCTTAACATATGCATGTGAGAGAAAACTTCAGCTATCCTTTTTCTCTCTATCTCTCTCCCCCCCCCCCCCATTTTTTCCCTTTGCAATAACATTCCAATAAAACAGGTTTGCAAGTTGCATATTGCAGGTAAGATATATGTGGTAAAGCCTTAAGTGTACTGAATGAAATTGGTTAGATTAATCTCTTCGACACCTCACTTGCACAGGATTAAACTAATAAGAATGCTCATAATTTTGAATAATTGAAATCAATTTTCTGACACTCTGCAAACTTGTGGAGAATTTCACAGATCTCAGAAATTGCAAGTCAGAAGACTGAGAATAACAGTTAGCAAGGGACTGTTTTCCAACTAAAAGTGTGTGTCCTGAACAGATTGTTTATTACATGGAGGGAAATAATTAAAATAATTAAAATTTGAAATAGACTGGCATCCAAATATTAAAAAGAAAGAAATAGAAATAGGCATATAGACATGGTTATGTTAAATAAGATTAATTCTTCATGGCCAGATTAATTGCATCCTGAAATTACGGAAATTAGTCTAAAGCTATTGTAACCCTGAATGGTTGTTAAACGACCGTTCATAAATTAAGGACTTCTTGTATGCCTCTTTCCACATATCTTGTGATATTTCTGACAAAACTTGACTGACCATACTTCAGCTTATGTGACTTGCCAAGATCTACGCAACATTGCAGACCCCTCAGAGCAGCTGGTGATGGTGATCAAAGCTCCCCCTGAGACACAGATGCAAGTCTCTGATCCTGCAGAGGTAACCTCCCTACTTCTAAGAATTACAGGGGCCATTTGGGGTCTCATAGAATACTTACATGCTTAATTTTCAGAATCCAAATCCTCTTTACTATGTTTATCCTTTCCATTCCTCATTAGGTAGGAACGATTTATACAAGTCCATTTAAGTGTAGTATATCTTGAAACAGTATCATGAAATCTTGCCACCAGTATGATCGATCCAGGGAAGCTTGGTTTTTAAATGCAAGATTCTGTATATGTGATTGCTGATCTCTTCATTCATTCATCCATTCATCCAATTTCTGTAGCTGCCCAGCTCAACCACTCTTTGACATATTGAACTCAGTCTCTTTGAATATAGTTTAGCTGTATGTCATTGGGTCACATACACTCTGCAATATTTTACAATAATCAACTGGCACAAAGTGTTATAGCCTAGGTTAGTTAAATGGTGGATAAACATGAAATTACTGTGCTGACCTGTAAGAAAATGTCCTTTTGTAGGACAAACCACCTGAACTAATGTTTTGTGCCTAATCTAACCAAATATAACTGGTGACCTAAGGGGAGAGGTTTGTTGATATAGTGAGGAAAGTTTGGGGCATGTGAAATAAGAGGTTATACATCTTGGATTTAATAGAATAAGTTACTCTCTGTTTGGAGCCAAGAATGATGCACAGAATAAAGGCTTTTGCAGCTCTTTGTTACTAAGCAGTTATCGTCTAGGTAGATGCAGTGCCTTGTTAACTCATGAATAGCAATGTTAAACCGAGATATAGCAAAATAGAATGCTTCAAGTGGAACTTTTCCTTTCTCGTTTTACTATTTTTGATTTAATACATTTTTTTTCTACAAAGTATTAAAACTATGAGGGGACATCATTACAAAATAGAATTTTTTTCACTCAGATATTGAGATGTACTGGGCTTCTCAAAAAAAATTCCTTGCAGAATTTAGGAACTGTGTTGCTATGAGCAATAGTTGTCCCTGGCAGTGAAACAAGGCAAAAGAGTTAGACGTTTCAATTTTTTTTGTCATCTAGTCACAAAGAGATAAAATTCTGAAGATTTTGTAAAACTGATTTTCCCAAAATGTTCTTCATAGAAAAGAACTACAGAGGCTTACCAGTACCACCTTCACAACAAAAGTTTGTGCAGTCTTCTATATGTCTCCTCAAATGTTCTTTTCTCCATCTCTGTTAGGCTTTCCAAATTGCTGTGAAAAGTACTCAGGGCCCTGTTGATGTGTTCCTGTGCCCAGAAGAGAGCTCTGGTGTCTGTAGTCCCACCAAGAGTCCATTGAAAGTGGCTTCTGAGGAACCTTCTTCAGCACCTTCACAAACAACACCCTCTGCGCTTCTACACCCTTCTCAGGATACAAGTTTGCCATTGTTGAGTGGAGACCAAGGTATATGAATTGTTGCCTTAAGAATTGGCACCCAAGAGTAACTCAGGCCAGCAAGCCTTTTCAGTCAGATAATTCTGTGTCAAGCTTGTGTTTTGACTATTGTAGCTATGCATTTCCTAAAGTGTGGCCTTTCAGTAGCAAGTGTACATATAACTGGGAAGAACACAGAAGTATACCCATAATAGTTTTATCTACAGTATTTTCATGTTGTAGACATAATGCATCATGGTATCTGAATAGTTTTTTTCTGAAGCCTTCATTACCACCCTATCAAGGGGAAAAATACTTGATTTCTGTTTCTTTTCCTGTTGATAGTCCATCCTAAAATATCATCATTGTCAAATTTAAGGCCGATTGCTGTACCTGTTGTCGTGAGTTTTGTCTTCTTTATATTTGATCTTAGCCCTGTTTCTTCCACTGAACTTAAGTTACATTACTGGAGCTTCCAGATCATTTGCACTTTAGCTGTCAGAGTAGCACAGTTAGATGATTGATGCTTCTTCCAATTTTAAAACCATGCTCATCTTTTTCCAATCCAGCTTTTCTCAGTATATATATTCAGAATGTGGGTTGAATAAATAAGAAGATAGTTCAAGTGGTCCTCAACTTATGACCCCAATTGAGTCCAAGTGAAACATTTATTAAGTGGGTTTTGCCCCACTTTATGACCTTTCTTGCCACAGTTGTTAAGTGAATCACTTCAGTTGTTAAGTTAGTAGCACGGTTGTTAAGTGAATCTGGCTCCCCCGTTGATTTGCTTGTCAGAAGGTCACAAACGGTGACCACATGACCCCGGGACACTGCAACTGTCATAAATATGAGTCAGTTGCAAAGTGTCTGAATCATGTGATGATCATGTGACCACAGGCATGTTGCAACAGTCGTAAGTGTTAAAAATTGTCATAAGTCCCCTTTTTCAGTGCCATTGTAACTTTGAACGGTCACTAAATGAACTGTTGTAAGTCAGGGACTACCTGCAGTTTGTTTCACTATATTCTATCCAGGCTGGGGCATTCTGTCCTAACTATAGGTTTCTCAAAGAATACTGAGATGTATTGGGACTTCCATTTTCCTAAAGATATTCCACAGGTTGCCATGGCCGACACCATCAAAGGCTTTTCTATAATCAGTGAAGCACATGTTGACTTCTTGGTACTCATTGGCTTTCTCAGTTATTCAGCATGCATACGAAATAATACCTCTTGTTCACTATTTGCTTCCTAAACCCGCTTAAATGGCTGGTCTCTGCCTTTTCATATCTGGTTCTAATATGCAACTGGACGATCCTCAGCATTATTTGCTAGAATATGAAATTAAGGACATTGTCCAGTAGTTTGTGAACTCTGCTAAGTCTCATTTTTGTTGTTATTGGTATTTAGACTGATCCCTTTCAATCTGTTCTTATTCTCTCATTCTTCAAATTTGCCGGCATAGTTTTGTTCAGGCTGAGATTATACTGCCAAAATTGAGCTGGAAATGACTGCGCTAAGCCTCTGTTAGGCAAAACAAATTCAGCCTTCAAATCAGTCCAATTTTCAGAACAAATAATTTTGCTCGGTAGCAGTTGTAAATGTAAATTATGGCCCTAGTTTGAAGAATTATGGCCATTTTTATCTTTAAGAGAAAGGAACTCCTGTATCAAAATGCCATAAAGGAGGACATTCTATTCTGTGTTTTTATTTCATAGCATTTACAATATGCAAAATATACAGAAAGGCTTCCCCATCTGATCTTAAATTATGAGCAAGAGCAAGCCAGATTTTCAAATACCCTGGCTCTAAAGCAAATACATCCTTTTGCAATATGTATGCAAGTTGTTGTTAGTCTTGCATTGTTGGTTCTGCACTTCTGTGGATATGATTACTTTGAATCTTTTGGGCAAAGATGTGTGATAAAGGGAGAAGGCATAGAGACAGATGGCATTAGGGGAGAATGATATACAAGTAACCAGATCCAATCTAATGGGATAGAGAAGCATTGAGAAAGGTGACAAAAACTGTGTTTTTTGCTAACATACTTCTACAAAGGCTCTTTCTAGAAAGGCTTGATGGGGAAAAAAGCTACAAATGAGAAAGAAAGGTAGCATTTCTTGGTACATTCCTGTACCAAGTGAATTTCTCTCTCTTAAGAGTTTTTCTACGAAAAGGTTTTTACATTTTGTTTCAAATTATATGTAATGTATTCCTATTTTGTGATAGAGACCACTTTGTAGTTGCAGCTGAGCCATGAAAATTGTTTATACAATTTTGGAAGAAACATTGTATATTATATATAATTGGAAGATTAAGCAACTTTGTTTTTGTGTACAGAGAAGGTTTTATTTGGGATATTCACTTGGGATTAAAGGCAGGGGTATATCTATTATGATGGCTACTAAGTCTCTCCTTTATCTCTTGGCAGAACCTTTGTTATCTGGAGAGACTACACTGCCTCTGAAGTGTCCCGGGGATGATGTAAACCTCTCACCACTGGCTTCCATGGATGCCTTGCTTCTGCAGGGCAAGGATGACTTCTCAAGTTTTCTGCCCTCTGAATTCATTGCACTTTCACCACCCCAGACTCAGGACTATCATTTTGGGCTCGAGGAGGGTGAAGGCATCAGTGAGCTCTTTGACTGTGACTTTGGAGATTTCACCTCCTTGGATTTCTGAATATCCTCGGGTTGGGGAAAGGGGAGCGCCACCTGGTCAACTCTACCCCACCACAGGCGGGGGGATCTTTTTTGCAGCTGACATCTGAATATAATTCCAGGGCTAGTTGTCATCTTCAGGGCCAGTGTGCTGTCAATCAGATGCCAGGGAAGGAAAATGGCAGGATGTGGTCTGGCATCGGTGACAGTGGGAGCACTCAGCTCCTGGAATGGCTGCCTTTTGCTGGCCCTCTCCCTGTAATTGAGGGAGATGGCTGTGAAGCTAATTGCTGCTGTGAATGTTGCAAGCTTGTTTTTGTGACCTGATTGAAAGAAAGCAGGCATCACCTCAAGCCTGCTGTGCCCAGGCCCAGAGTAGTAATAATACTTAGGAATAGGTGAGTAGGGTCACCTTGATTCTCTGGTGCCATGTTTGGAATCTATAGGGATAGCTTTAGAGATGCTGTTGCAGCGGCCTAGTTATTCTTGTTGAACCACTCCTTTCCCTGAATTTCACTTTAGACAATACTTGGCTGTGGGCAGGCCCCCTTTTTAGCAGGTGCTTAATTTTCTATGTTGTGAGCAATTTCTCAATCTTGGCTTAGAAAAACACGATGGTCAGAAGCTATCTTTAGAAGAGGGGGCCCCTCCATTCCTTTCTCAGCAAACTGTTTAGGTTGTGTGGCAGAAGCACTGAGCACATTATTTTGAGGGACACCTTTCTGCCAGGCAGCAGTGGGAGAAGGTGACCAGAACGGTACTTCTCAGAACAGTCATTGATCTGAGGTGGACTCTTGCAGCCCATCTCTACTTGGTTGGCTGGCATTTTTATCTTTATCTAGGACTGGGAAAATTCTGTATGCTGGCAAATGATAAACCAGAGATTTGCAACTCAGTATCAAAGAATGGTCAAGTAGAAGAAAGAAAACCAACTGGATAGGATGGATGATATAATGGGAGCCTTTTGTTAAACATGCTGCTCAAACTAGTGAAAAGGTAATGGGTGCGTTAGAAAAATGGGTGAACTTTTTTTTTTGCTCTTTTTAAAAAAATGTTCTGGTTGAAAAGGAGAAACTGGCTTTCAAAAATGAGGCACCAAGAATGGTGGGGTGAATTGTTTCTGGATGCCGATGCAAACATATTTTTTTTCCTCATAAGCCTCACCATAAAGCTTTAAGGAGGGTCCTGTAAAGATTATTTATTTATTTTGGGTGTTCCTCACCTCCCACTATGGATATTATTTTCTGGAAAGTCTATTCCCTGGTAGAATATCTATATATCTTATCTGGGGATGGGATGGGTTTTTATTATGGTGATTTTTTTTTTCATAGTGAGGTGCTCAGTCTGCTCAGCTGTCTTTAGGTTTAGAGCAGACAGCCAACAATGCAGAGGGGACACTGCTTGTCGTAGGAAATGAAGTTACTGGAACATTTTGCTTCAGCAGGAGGAAAGGGAGGATTGCTAGCTATTTTCCATAATAGTAAGGGAGGTTAACCCTACACAGTATTGTCAGACAGCAAGCAACCAATGCCTTTATTTACCCCTTTCCTGTAAAGTGAAGGGAAAACACAGACTTTTCTCCTTATTATCCCAATCCCTATGCTAAGCATAAGATACATCCAGAAATCATGGATTCATGTTATTTATTTATTATTTATGTGGCTCCATCCAGTGTTCCTGGAAGATAAAGGATAGTGTCAGAGGAATATGGGTGCATGAACTCAACATGTCCAGGTATGTAGAAAGAGACTCTTTAGGTATCTGATTAGAATTGCTGATCTAGCAAGTGACAGCAGAGAACCTGGGAACAAGTACGTTGTGGTCAAAGAGCCTCGAATAGTGAAGAGATTCAATGTCTCATCAATATGTTGAGAGAGTATGACTGGTCAAGACAAGTGAATTGAAATGCTATTTATTCATAGAGGATGGACAACAGGTTCATCTTGTAGAACAGTATTTCTGAACTTCAATAATTTTAAGGTGTGCAAATTTCAGTTCCCAGAATTCCTCAGCCATTGTCCTGGGAATTGAAGTCCACGCATCTTAAAGTTGCTGAGGTTGAGAAACACTACTGTAGAGAAATATTTTGGTATGTTGAAAGGGAGGGTGGGGGAGGGAAACACACACTGGTAGGATAAGAGTTTGTGGAAGGAATAGTTTTATTCCAGGTTTATCCATTTTGAGAAGTAGCTTTAGTTGAAGGAATGGGGCTTTAGCAGCAGGTATGAATGCCATCAGCTTGACTAGGAGTTGTTCCTAGTGCATCACAAAGCAGTAATTGGTGCTGTCCCTGAGGTGCCTTCTTAGTCCTTTAAGTATTATTTACTGGAACTCACCAAAGTGTGCTCCTACATGTTAGGAGTGTATTTTGCTTTATGGAAAGGTAACCATGACTCAGTGTGTGGCTTTGTGTATTTGTGTTCTTAACAGATGAGAGAACTACTAATGTAAAGCATTGTGACAACCAGTCCCAAATAATTTAAATTTCACTGGAGCTCTTTTTTGGACAAGACTGAACAAAAGCATCTCTTAACTGGGTCTTCTTCAGGCAACACATATAAATACGCTTCCTCAAATCAAAATTCATCAGGCAGCAGGTGGTTGTATAAGCATAGATAACACAATATGATTCCCATCCTCTCTTCTCACCTTTCAACTCTTTCTCAGGTTGCCAGTTCCTAAAGCTGAATCAAGTTAAAAATTATCCCTGTGTTGCTAGGCTCTACATAAGGAGAAACAGCTAACTCTCTCCAAACATCGCATTTTCCAAGTTGGACATTTGCAAGTAATCTGTTCTCAAGAAACTTAATGCTGTGTTCTTGTAGACTGCACTACTTCTGAATAATAACTGGCAAAACATGTTCTCTGTAACCAAGGTACACCTTATTTCTTGTTTCAGATACAAACAGGAGAGCAATTTGATCATATTCACATTAATTACTGATCTCTAAGTGAGCCTTATCTGGATGCCTTCTGGATTTCCTATAATATTACATGTTAGCCAAGTTGGCTGGGGCTGATGGCAGTTTTAATTCAATTCATCTAGGCACGAGGGTTACAAATCTGGATTGCATTTCTGTACATAGGTAATCTTAACTTTCTGACATGTTTATCTTTTTGTAATGTGGATATCTCCCTCAGTAGTTGCAGCAAACAGAGACAATCTGTTCCAAAGGATTCATTGATAGATTTATACCTTTTGATATATTCATACTGAGCACATCTTGCTTTCACAAGGGAAGACCAGTACTGCTTTGGCTAGCCTCTTTCTGATGCAACTCATACAAAAGTCACTGTAATGTGCCCCCCCCCCCCCAGGAAAAAAAAGTCTAGTTGCTGGAATATAAGGGAACAGATTCTTTAAAGATCATGTTGATATTTGCCTACTGGAGTATTCCAATACTTTCCTGAATTGATGTTCCATTCTTACTGGTTGGGAACAAAAATAATAATGCTATAATGCCAGGGCCCAGTTTTTGGGTATGTCAAAGCAATAAACCATGTTATATTCTTTACATTTTAGATAATTCTTGAACGTATTTTCTTTTTGATAGTTACCTAGAATGTAAGGAGTACAGCATAATTACCTGTGGTAGAATGACAAACATGCCATAATTATTACTAAAATGTTGTCCTACGAAAGTCCCTGAAGAGACTTCAACAAAATGCAGTATTCTGTATGGTTCAGTAAGCTGAACAGTAGTTCTATAAAAACAAGTCAGGATTTGAACCCTGTTCTGCCTGCTTGGGATTGGAGGGGGGAGAGAATTATGCATGACTGCATAACAATTTCTTATAGACCTCTCAAGTTTCCCCCAATTCAACAGATAAGATGGCCGCTATGTTCCCTGATAATCTCAATTTTCACTTGTACATTAAAATGCTGTTTAATGTTTTCATCCTTCAACTTCAGCATCACCTGCAACAGAAAGTTATTCCATAATTTTTCAAGTCATGATCTTCACATCTCATGCCTTCTTACCTTACCTCAGTGTGGGTAACCCTCCTGGCTAAGATATCGGGATGTTGTTTGAAAGGACAATTTGAGGAACTCCAGCCCTTCTATTTAAAGCAGTGGATTGGAAGATCCTAAATAAACTGATGAGCACCATTGATAGCTGAGGAAATGGCCAATGGTCAAAAGCTTCAGTGTGAGAAAAAGCAATCTAGATTTTTTTAAAGAAAAGACACAACTTGAATTAAGGATGGAATGGAGAGGTATGTTGCAGGCAACCAATGAGAAGAGCATGATTTATGCAAGTTGGCCTTGCACAGCAGAATTGAACATTCTGTAATGGATTGGAATGGTGACCTCCAGATGTTTAGCAAGAATTTCTAAGCACTTAAGAATAAAGATCTGAGATAATTTGCTGCTGTTGTGATTTAAATGATTTTTGGAGAATTAGGTACATGTATGAACAAGAATGCCTGTTGCACCAGAAGCCTATTATAAGAAAATCCATCCACTCTGCCCCCTTCCTTCTAACAAGGTATCTTGATTCTGAACATGGTGACCATATGCATCCCAGATAATGTTGCTGCTATCGACCTAAGAACCAGGGAGGATTGGAGCCAGAGCTCTGGTACCTTAATCCGAATGGGAAGCACTTAGTATAGCTCATAATGCAAATAGTTCTACAAAGCCTTAAAATCTATTGGATCAAAGAAATAAGCCTAGAGTGCACATGATTCTCCTTTCAGCAAACTTCTTCTAGTGAGGAGCATGAGAAGTCCAGTTGGGCAAGTTCTTTTATTAAAATTGAAAGCACAGCAGAGGAGAAGGTGCTGTATCTGTACCCCAGCAAGAGAACTAAGAGTGCCCTGTGTAAGTGATGTGGATTCAAAGCATTATCTGGAAAAGTTGAGGGATCTTGTTGAGGTGCCTAAAGGTTGCTGAGATATTGTTATAGTTCTTAAGGATTGCAACTACTTTGGTAAGTTTCCAGGACAGACACCCAAGATTCTTTGGCAGCTGAGCGACCAAATGTGTTGTAAAACCTGCAGCATTTTCCAGGTGCCTGAACATTGAGGGAAATACACGTTTTTGTCTGTGCCTATTTTTAATAACAAGCCTTGTTCATGATTGTGCCTTTAGTTTTAATAAACATTTCTAATAATTTCCACTTGATTTACTGTCTTTTAATTATTTAAATATTGCTGATATAAATAATGGTAAAGACTTTGGACTGGTAGGCACTTATTTTAAGCATGTCCTGAGACAAAGCTGCATTCACTTCTATGCAGATAACTATTTGACTATTGTTTGCCTAGCAGTTGGGGAATTTACACATCAGAGTAGTAACAACAGCATCAGTTACCTAAGGTAGATCCAGGGTATAGTAAGTGTTGTGCTGCAAGATATCAAAACTGCATAATCTGTCAATGTTTCTCAGATCGGCTTCTACAAAGCTTCCATATAGCATAATTCTCTAGAATCTGTTGTAAGAGGTGAAATTACAGGATCTATTGAATTTATTTACCAATTTGCATGATTGTCCTTTCAAAATAAGGATATTCATGTGATCTGGAGCCAAAACCTATGAAACCTGATTGGGCATTCCAGAGGTTATAACCTCCAAAGCACTCGAATCATGTTGACAAAATTTAGTGATTTGGGGGTCAGTGCAATTTTTGTTGGGAAGATAAGCAAGTTACGGATCTACTATCTTAGCCTCTTCCCTGCACCATGTCTTCAGGATGCAAACTCCTGCTAATTTCAACATTAAACCCTCCAAAATAAGAAAGCTAGGTTCAACAAATGTTGGTCTTGCTCTTGTAATGTCACCAGAATGAGTTATACAATCCAGTAGCAGGCCTGGAGAGATCAAGTAGTGGCCCTCAACTCAGAAGAACTATTTTCTACAATAAACTTGTTCTACAAAGTTTCGGGAGAAAACACCAAAGCTTCATAGAAACACATTGTAATAGGTATTACTGCACCCCAGAGGTGGAATTCAGCAGGTTCTGACCAGTTCTGGAGAACCAGTAGTGGAAATTTTGAGTAGTTTGGAGAACTGGCAAATACCACCTCTGACTGGCCCCGCCCCCATCTATTCTCTGCCTTCCAAGTCTCAGCTGGTTGGCTGGGTCTTTTGTTGCCCTGCACAGGAGAACAAAACTGGAAAGTAGGTTAGTGGGATGGGGAGAGAATGGGATTTTGCAGTATCCTTCCCTTGCCATGCCTGCCATGCCACGTCCACTAAGCCACACCCACATAACCGGTAGTAAAAAAATTGGAATCCCACCTTCTGCACCCCAATCCCAATACCTACCCTTTCTACTTTTGACTGTTTTGTTGAAAAAGGGCAAAGCCAAGATGCAAAGCCAAGGCAACTGATAAAGGTTCTAGATATCTTGAGGGAAGGGGAGAACAAGGTACTAATCAAAATATTTTTTTAATCAGTATACTCCTCAATATAGATAATGGAAGACTAGATTTAGGTGCTGATTATTATCTGAACAAACTATCCACCAAGGACTTTTCTGAATGGCTGAGATTAATCAGAAATATAAACAATCCTGCAACACAAATCTTACAATGTGGACCCTTTGCATGGACATTCATTTGTGGATGGAAGGGAAGAGGATCTGTGTCAAGTCTTGAGTCCTCAAAGGTCCAGGTGATTTTCTGAAACAGCCTATAATCGTCCTCTGAGATAGTTCACTGAGGATTAAAAATTATAAATTAATGGTCCAACAGCTACTTAAGCAATCATATTTAATAGTTCTAATTAACAATAGCTTAAAGGGAATTTCCAATGTGTTTAACATTTTAATAAATTGGATAAGGGTGTATTTTAATCAAACTTACAAATCTCACAAAGCTGGAAGGGGTGACTGGCATATAGATGACTGAATCAAAAGATTCCATGGGCTGAGTTGCAACTAATCTATATTCACAATATGGCACATATAATAAAACAATTTTTTAAAATTCACATTAATTTTAACTTTATAATACCACAAATATCTATGCCCTCCAAACCTCAGGTTGTCATCTAATTCCAAAAGCCTACTTCTTAGCAACACTCACTCATACAGACCAAACAAGCTGCGAAATTAAATTTCAAATTTAGTAACCCGGTTCTCCTTTTGCATTTTGTCAAACTTTATAATAAACTCATGGTTCCCCCCCACCCCCCACCCTTGCCATAGAAGTGATTCTCAAATAGCTAAAAGCTGTTATGGGGAAGGTGAAAGAGAGTCCTTTGTTTCAGCAGTGGAGCAGAAAATGGCAGAAATTGGCTGCCTATTGAAACAATCACAACAATTTCAAGTAGACCCACTGCAGTTAGTGGGATACTTGCTTGCAGGGAATACTGCAGAAGTAAGCAGAAAGTGGGAATGAATTGATGTGTTCGGATATTATTTCAGGTAAAATATATAGTAATTATAAATATCCTTTTACAATAAACCAAAGACAAAGGCATCAACATCCATAGCAGTGGTGGGATTCAAAAATTTTTTACTACTGGCCCTGTGGGCATAGCTTGGTGGGCGTGGCTTGGTGGGCGTGGCAGGGGAAGGATACTGCAAAATCCCCACCCCGCTAACCTGCTTTCCAGCTCCATTCTCCTGTGCAGGGCAACAAAAGAAGACCCAGTTGATCAGCTGGGACTCAGGAGGCAGAGCATAGATGGAGGCAGGGCCAGTCAGATGTGGTATTTGCCGGTTCTCCGAACTACTCAAAGTTTCCACTACCGGTTCTCCGGAACTGGTCAGAACCTGCTGATCCATAGGCTATGCTGAATTTATAAACTGGAGCCTCTCTGAAAACCCTAGTTGACTGGCTGACCTTGAAAGGCAAAGTAAATTTGGACCTGTTCAGTATTTGAACTGAACTTCATCAGGAAATAATAGAACAGCAGGCTAGACCCAGCAAGTCAAATAAGCATCACTGAAGGAACAAGAAATGAATATGTCTCTGAATGATGAGCAGTTGAACTTGACTAAAGAGACTTGGACTTACTAGTTTTCCTGAACAGGTCAAAACATTTTTCTGATCACATTTCTGTTGAGAAGGAATTTCATCCTTAGTATTTTGTCACTATTAAAGTGCCTATTAACTGAAAAGAAATATAATTAATTATTTTAATTAATTAAAATAAACATGTTATGTCCCATTTCTTTGCTTCCTGGGTGCAGAGTTCAAAGTTGAGTTGCCTCTAAGGATGCAACCTAGCGGTAAAGATAAAAGATCATTACAGGCAGTTCTGTGTCTCTATGAGGAAAAAAAAAAGTCTATGCAGTGAGAAAATAGTGCAAGCTGAAATCTCAACACATCTTGCTTCCAGTCTCGTTCTGA